TCTTTTTGCTGAGGAAGACTGGCCCTGGGCTAACATCCGTGCCCATCTTCCTCCACTTTATATGGGATGCCGCCACAGCATGGCTTGACAAGTGGTGCGTCAGTGCACACCCCGGATCCGAACCGGCGAACCCTGGGCTGCCACAGCTGAGCGTGTGCACTTAACCGCTTGCGCTACCGGGCCAGCCCCTCACTGTAATTTTTTGTCAAAGTATTTTCCACATAATCTTTAAAATAATATGACTCACTGATCAATTTTTGTCCAGTTCCAATTTCACTGCGAACACCTGCCTGGAGCACCCCTCCTGGCCGTTCATTCTAAAAGTCTGATTTTCCTGGAGGCAGATTTTGAGGATCTGACAGTACACGGGCCAGTATAGTGGCTGTGGGTGTTAACTACACCCACATGTTCCGACTCCCCGTGCACTGGGCGGGAGGCTGACAGCCCGTCATTTCCTAGCCCCCGGGCTGCCCTGGCACCGCGAGCCCACTCACGCAGCCGGCAGATGGGGCAGTTGCTGGCCTGGTAGCGCAGCGTGTCAGCGCAGGAGTTGCACAGGCACAGGTGGCGGCAGGGCAGGATCAGCGTGTCCCGGAGGTCTGACAGGCACACCACGCACTCATTGCTGTTGTCGCTGTTCTCCTCGTCTGAGGGCTGCAGGGACATGGAGGGTCCAAGTGTTGGCGGGCTCCTGAGGGCCAGAGGCTGGGGCCTGGGATGGTGGGGGCAGGGAGGGGGCCTTCCTGTCCCCGGCCGCCCACCAGCCGTCCCGCACTACCCCTGAGGGCTGCTGTGGCAGAGGGAAGCCCAAGAGAGCGGAGGAAGGTCACCGAGGAGCAGGACTCAGGAGATACAGGCCAGATCCAGTCACACCCACCCCACAGCAAAGACGAGAATCTGTGCCCCACCCCCAGGCAGACCCCAAATCAAGACAACTCAGGTCTCTTTCTATTCCTCAGAACCAAAGAGAAAATATGGAAAAGACGTGATACTACGGAACACGTCTTCATTTGGTTAAAACAAAAAAAAATCAGACAAGTCTCACTTGTTTGAAATATTTTCATTTAGTAATGGCAGCTTCTAGAAAACAAAATTAGTGTCTGGGGCCGGCCCCGTGGCTTAGCGGTTAAGTGCGCGCACTCCGCTGCTGGCGGCCCGGGTTCGGATCCCGGGCGCGCACCGACGCACCGCTTCTCCGGCCATGCTGGGGCCGCGTCCCACATAGAACAACTAGAGGGATGTACAGCTATGACATACAACTATCTGCTGGGGCTTTGGGGGAAAAATAAATAAATAAAATTAAAATTATCAAAATTAGTGTCTGGATCAAGAGACAGTAACATTCTGAAGCAGGGGTCAGCCACCTGTTTCTGTAAAAGAAGTTTTATGGGCCCACGTTCTCGCCACTTGTTGCTATAGCGTCTCTGGCTGCTTCTGCAATGGAACGACAGCGTTGGATAGATGTGACAGACACCGCACGGCCAACAAAGTCGAAATGTTTACTACCCTGCCCTTTACGGAGGGTGAGCCGACCTCTGGTGTAAAACAGTTGAAATGGGCAGAGCGTGCTCATCTGAGGCTCAGGGCCTGGCCAACCCGCCCTGTCCTCCAGCTTCTAGCCGGTTCCAGCCATCATCAAAGCTGGCGTGTGAGACTTTGGGAAGTTTTTAGAAAGAAGCAGCCAGTGTGCCTTTAAAAACGATGACAAAGGTACTGGCTTGATTCCCTGCTACTCTCCCCTGGCTGAGCCAGACCATGACTCTGCCAGCCCCCAGCCTCTGCTACAGCACCCAGAAGGTGCAGCCCTCCACATCACGCAGGGCTCGGGCCGGGGAGACGAGCCGCTCAGCGGGGGCAGCGCGGGCTCAACCGCTGGTCATGAGAACAGAAAGGCCAAGGCAGCACCAGACAAGTCAGAGCAAGTAGGAGGGTCCCCACATCCCCAAGCTGCCCTGACGGCCAGCAGCCCAACGATGGTAACAAGCCAGTGAATTTGCTGGAAAAATGACAAAATGTCCCATAGACTGTGTTAACTCTCAAAAAAATTCAGGACAAAGGACAGCGTCTGGGGGGGGTCCCGAGGCCTGCAGAAGAAGGTGAGGAAAGCGACTGGCTCATCTCCCATCAACCTGCGGGGCCCTGGGCACAGCAGGGACCCCAGGCAAGTCTCTCCCGTGAGCTGCTCCCGTGCACACGGAAGGCAAGCTGGGGGCAGGCCGGCCCGGAGCCCCGGCAGGTGCTCACCCCCAGCACACACCTTCGTCTCCTGGTTGTTCTTGTTCTCGATGCCGTAGATCTCCTGCAGCAGGTAGCTGACACGGTCCACCTGGAGAGCAGAGAGGTGTCTGGGCACTTGCCAGCCCCCTGAAGGGCTCCTCTGCACCCACCTGGCCCAATGCCACCGCCCAGGTGCCAGGCTCACGTCCCAGGTGCAGGCGTGGTTGGGACTTCCACCCAGCGGAAGTGGGCCCAATGCCAGGACACAGCCAGAGAGAACCAGCTACCTGCCCAGCCCAACTCACAGCACAGGCGTAGGCCTGGGGGCCCAGCGGTCCTGCCCACACAGAGGACCTGGAGTCAAGCTCCACACCAGCCCAGCAACCACACCCTCTGCCACCTGACCATCCCCAACCCAGAGAAAACACACTTTGGACCCACTCATCACCAGCTGCACAAGAGTGACCAGGGTCAGGCCTCACACTGACCATGTTCAAAAGTGGTCTGAGCTGCTCCCGTCCCACAGTTCCATAGACCACAAACACCTGTCAGCCAGCTCTCCTGAGACAAGTGCTCTGAGCATCGCTGGGGTCTCCTGCCCTCCTGTCACCTTCAGGGGCCGGACCTGACAGAGCTCTCTACTCTTCTTTTAAGAAACTAACCAACACCACTCTCGGACTGTGGTTGATGCACCTGAGCAGCACACACAAGGACAACCTAACCATGGCTTTGGAAAACAGACCCCACCATGGCCACTGTTAACATCAGTCTCAATATCAGATCTAACATGGTGCATTCAGGGGACACCATCCTCTAAATTCTCACAGCCACCTGGAATCATTCTTCCTGGTGTAGGACCATGGAATTACTGACCCCAAAGAAAATGGGTCTGCAGCTCCCATTTGCTCCCGGATATTCCATCTTTCCTCTCAAATACTGATTAAGTCAATCCCAGTCTTTGCCTAATACTGAAGTATTTTCAGCAATTTGTAAGGAGAAGGGGAGGTTGCAGTCCTTCTGTTTCCTGTTCCCTTCCTCCCTCTGTCCAGTCATTCACTTGGCAAACATTTACTGAATGCTCAAGCCGGACAAGACTCAGAGCTACAACAGCCAATGCTGGTACGTGGTGGGTGTGCAGTACACCACACACATCCGATGACCCTGACGTCCAGGAGCCCAGAGCCCACAGTGATGACAGACAAGTCAACAGGCCGTCACCAGCTACCTCAACAGCAGCCATGGTGGCTCAGGGAGAATAATCCACGAGACCACTGGATCACGTGTGCATGCGCCTTTTAAATCAAAAGGGCTGGGCCGGCCCCGTGGCTTAGCGGTTAAGTGCACGCGCTCCGCTACTGGCGGCCCGGGTTCGGATCCCGGGCACACAGCGACGCACCGCTTCTCCGGCCATGCTGAGGCCGCGTCCCGCATACAGCAACTAGAAGGATGTGCAACTATGACATACAACTATCTACTGGGGCTTTGGGG